AGTACTGATTAATATGTTTTAATTTATTCTAATTTCCATTATTAATTATAATAAATTTAACTTAATAAAAATTCATATTGTTAAAATAAAATAATTTGTAAAACATAATGTAGCGTAAATTGAAATGTTTCTTTGTAAAATTAAAAATATTTATTGGAAATGAAACTATTTTTCCGGATTTAGATCGCGGTTGACTCACGGTCAATGGTGACCATGGGACCTGTAAAGGGCCCGAAACGTCGGTTTGTTTGAAAAAACAAATATACGCGATTTAAATCTTTACCTGAAATACAGGAATTTCCTAGTTCAGGTACATGTGTTATTTTGACATTAGATCGCATAAGTAGTCTTTAGTTTTCTCTGTACATTATGTTACTGAATAAACAATTTTATTATTTATTATTATTATAAATCCAGAAAAATAGTTTCATTTCCTATGTGTAACAATCGCGAAAACCTAAGAACTCGATATCAGGTATGTAATTAATAACTTTTGTAACTATAGTGAAAAATAAGGTGGTTTGCATTAATATTAGACATAACTGATTAATGACTGTACCACATCAGTCAACCGTGACCATGGGACCTGTAAAATCTGTCTGAAAAAAGTCTGTTTCAAAAAACAAATATATGCGATTTATATCTGGAAAAATAGTTTCATTTCCTACATTTCGAACTGGTAACAAAAAAAATTCGACGTAAGAATGCCTATACTTCGTTTTTTTACAGTTAGATGAAACGTAAACAAAAAGCAGTAACCGTAAATCTTGTTCCTAAGACGACAAATCACCGTAAAGGAAAAAATAACAAATGACAATATTTTTTTCTTTTTCTTTGTTTTCATAAGCAAGGTTTTGAAATTAATTGCGAAGAGATAGAAACTTTCCATTTAAAGTTTAAATAGGTACTGCAAGTTATAAATAAGGTAGTAAATTTGTTCGCGAATTTCGTTTAACAAAAGACTCTACGTAAATTCCTTGTCATTAGATAAAAAGGACCATTATATGCGTTTGAATTATATAATTATATGCTGACTGACTTCCTTCAAGTTGCATTGATCAACTGCTGGAAATAAATAAGAAACACGAGGATATCCCGCGCTTCACAGAAGACCTTTGGAAAAACAGGAGCTTACCCTGGCCTATACAATTACATATTATCAACCCTCTAAGTCCTATGAAATGAACTAAGAACAGTCGCTTGTCGCTATTTCTATCAAAAAAATTGCTTGTAGAGGTTGTATGAGCAAACCTTTGCCTACACAAATAAATGGAAGAAAGCCTAAAAAAAACATTACTGCGTTACTATCTCATAGAGTATGTGGAGCTTAAATAATAAATAAAGTCATTCATCCCCTAGTTTGCCACCCTTAGTGGTGGAATAGGAATATTTTGTTCAAATTTAAATGGGACCACTGCTGAGGTGCCCTCCTTCCAACGAAAAAAAGGAACATCAAAATCGGTTCTCGAATACCGGAGTTATCGCGTAACATACATTGAAATTGAGAACCTCGTTCTTTCTTTGTAGGCGGTTATAGAAACTCGTTAAGGTATTTTTCAGGTTCGTTACTGGCGTACAATTTTGATTTTTGTTTTAATAAGAGAACCGACGAACTGAAGATCGAAAGTGAATGAAATTTAAGTGCGGCGACTACCGCTGATGACTATACAAAAAAAGGCAAACAAGCAAGTTAGCGCCTGGTGAATTAGGTTTCGCAATAATGTAAATCACGTGTATAAATAAACTCAAATAAGCTAGGCGCAAACGGTTGCCTTTATTTAGATATAAGACGCTTGCGCCACTTTATATAGCTCATGTGTAACTGTGTGTACAAATGGAACTTTTACGTCGTGATATTCCAACAAACTTTCTGTAAATACAGATTGTTGCGAACTCCGCATGTTGTCTTGGAGTTTTAGCAAACCGTATGCCGCGTTCAAATGTCTTTAAACGTTTTAACAAATAAAACAATAAAAACTTCATTACGACTGTTAAAACAACTTAAAGAAAGACTAAACTCCTGGTGGTTAAGAGAGAGGTTCTCAAAAAGATATTGGGAGACCAGTTCGAATTAAAGAGAATAGACTTCGCTGGTTCGGCTATTTAGAAAGGACGAGAGAAGATTGGAACATCAAGAATACTTATCTGGGGCGATCCTTTGGAAAAAAACAGTTGGTCGGCCCATTCGGTTGTTTCTTTTTTTCCGTGGCTTTAAAGCTCTGAGTGGCACTGCAAATGTTAGAGACAGGCAGGCGCATAACTTGTTTGTCCCGTCACTTTATATTATAAAAAAACAATCAAATTCTGACCAACTTAACGCGATTACGTATCCGTAAATGACAAACTTTTGGTCTTTATTGCGAGTAAAATGAGTGAGCGGCCTGAAATAAAAAACCAATATACAAATAACAGATGAGTAGACTTCTCGAGTTCTTAGGTTTTCGCGATTGTTACACATAGGAAATGAAACTATTTTTCCGGATTTAAATCGCGTATATTTGTTTTTTCAAAC